GAGATGCCAAGTCTTTGAGTCTTCTAGGACTGGACTTATGGTTGTTGAGTTTCTGTGTTCCTTCACAGCAAATCTGTAACTCTGAGAGGAATGCTGCTTGATATGCACAAAGATTGCTCAGCCTTCTCAGGTTGAAAATCATTAAGTATCTGCCCTGCCATGGTTTATCTTCCCACCCACTAATCTGAGAGAAAGGAAACCAGAGAAAAATAGTTTTCAGCATCACAAATAAATAAATAAATAAAAATAAGTAAGTAAATAAATAAAATCTATCCATCGTCTCCTTTTAATAAAGAAATATCAAAAGCCGGGCATGGTAGCGCCTGCCTTTAACACCAGCACTCAGGAGGTAGAGGCAGATGAATCTTCGTGAGTTCAAGGCCAGCCTGGTACAGAGTGAGTTCCAGAACAGCCAGGGCTACACAGAGAAGCCTTGTCTCAAAAAACAAAACAAACAAAAAGAAAAGAAATAAAGTCATAGTCACATGCATTTTTGAAGATAATTTCAAATAAATAAAACCACCCAGCCTACAAGAATTCTGTTTAAACTCTGCCTTGGTCCTGCCTCTGTCTGTTGTGCTGGCTTCTTCTGATCTGCAGGGATGACCTAAATACAGGTCCATGTCAGTGGCGGGCATCACTTAGACCTGTGGCTTTGGGACACAGACTTCCTTGCCGACAGTCCCCACAACAGCAGGTGGTCTGATTGGAAGTCACTGTGGGAAGGGCGCACCCAAACAGCTCGGGGACAGGACTGGCTTAAGTGGTAAAGTCCTTGCTATCAAGTGTGGCAACCTGAGTTTGAGCCCTGGAAGCCACACAGTGGAAGGAGAGAACAGACTTGTCCAAGTTGCCTGTGACCTCCACAAATGTGTCATGGTACTTCCTAAAAATACATGCATACATACATACATACATACATACATACATACATACATACACACACACACACACACACACACATTTTAATGGGGGAGGGTCTGGAGAGATGGCTCAGAGGTTAAGAGCACTGAGCTCTGAGGTCCTGAGTTCAATTCCCAGAAACCTCATAGTGGCTCACAACCATCTGTAATGAAATTGCTGCCCTTTTCTGGTGTGCAAGCATACATGCATGCAGAACACTGTTCACATAATAAATAAATCTTTTTAAAATATGTATTTTAATGCTTTTTTAAAAAGCAGCTCATATTTACTGGAGTTTCTTGGCTTTTGTTTGTTTTGTTTTGTTTTTGTTTTTGTTTTCCAAGACAGGGTTTCTCTGTGTAGCTTTGGAGCCTATCCTGGCACTCGCTCTATAGACCAAGCTGGCCTTCAATTCACAGAGATCTGCCTGCCTCTGCCTCCCAAGTTCTGGGATTAAAGGTGTGTGCCACCAACGCCGGGCAAAAGAAATATAACTGGGCAGTGGTGGTACACACCTTTTTAAATATTCATTTAGTATACAGTGTTCTGCCCAGGCCAGAAGAGGGCACCAGGTCGCATTACAGATGTTTGTGAGCCACCATGTGTTTGCTGGGAACTGAACTCAGGACTTCTGGAAGAGCAGCCAGTGCTCTTAACCGCTGAGCCATCTCTCCAGCCCTGGTTGGCTTATTTTTTGATAGGTACTGTCTACTATTCTTTGGGTTTCTCTGTCTCTGTCTCTTTTCCTCTCTCTCTGTCTCTCTCTCTCCTTCTCTCTCTGTCTCTCTCTGTCTCTGTCTCTGTCTCTCTCTCTCTCTCTCGTGTGTGTGTGTGTGTGTGTGTGTGTGTGTGTGTGTTTGTGTGTGCCTGCTTTCCTTTCAAGGGTTAGGAGAGGTGGTCAGATTCCCTGGAGCAGCTCTGAACCACCTGGCACAGGTGCTGGGAACTCTTCCTATCCCCAGAGCATTCTCTCCAGCCCCTTCTTTGGGTTTTCTTGCTTACACTATGCTACATAAGGATCCTGGCAGCACTTCCCAGTGAGCATTCCAATGATTTAATGTGACAGAGTTGTTCAAAATAAAAGATGGACGGAGGGACAGTAGTAAAAACCAAAACAGTCATTCTGGAGTGTTCTCCCTTTCCAAGCCTGGTGGGACTTGGAATCCAGGAGTCAGTCCCGCTACAGGTGACCAGCTGGTGAGCTGGGGTAGGGGGCCCTTCACTTGCAATTCATTTTGGAGGCTCAGTGTAACTAATTCTTCCCAGGGGGATTCCAGGCAGCACCCGTTTTACCACAGTCAGGTCATTTCTATTGTTAACCTTGTAGCCTGACCTCCCAGGCAGGAAACTCTGAATCCCACAGCCTTTAAAAAAGGAAATGCTTTTTCTATTGGAAGTGGAGAGGAAATGCAAAAGAAATCTTCTTTTTCTCAACCCAGCCCAGAAGTGGGGAAATGGTAGGTCGACTTTAATAACAACGATGTCTTTACACCAGATTTCTTAGTCAATAATTTGACCCTGGTAGGTCACAGATGAGTGAAGGTCTCTGAGTATAGAAATGTTCCAAGTGCTTTGGTGCCTTTTTTTTGGGGGGGGGGTATTTAAAATATCAGTTGAAATCCCTGGTGTCCTTGGGTTGCTTCAGTTCTAGTAAAGGGAAAGTGTTTGGCAATAGATTTTATTTTAATTTTTTAAAGAAAAATGGTGATGGGAAGTAGTTATTTTATTTTTATTACTTTGCATTTAGGGACTGATAATTTCTGAAGCAAAAATATGATTCAAGTCAGACTCAGATACGATATGTTTCCTCTCATCTACAGAATTTAAATTAAGATACGCAAATACAAGACCTGCACAGTGACCATACTAGTTGACATGGCAACATGGATGAGGAAAGCATCACAAGACTTCATCCCTAGATGAGGAACTACAGTCAGTCAGTGTCTGTGAGGGAGGGAGAACCCATCAGCACTAAACACAAACAGCACTAAATGTACTCAGTAGGATATATACATATATATGGGTATACATATATAAATTATAGCAGAAGAGGTAGTTGTGTTAATTTGAGAAGGGGTGGGAGGGACTTTGGTGGAATTGGAGTGAGGAGGAAGCAGGTGTAAGTGATGATATCCAGTACTAAGTATGAAGTTCTCAAAAATATTAGAAATATTATTGTTGTACTAAACTATTTAATTTTATGTGGTGTGTGTGTGTGTGTGTGTGTGTGTGTGTGTGTGTGTGTGAAGGGAATGACAGAAGAGTAATAAGGCAAATATGAGCAAAGTACAGTGCTATGCATGTATGAAAATGTCATGCTGAAATCCATTCTCTTGTATGCCAACTTTAAAACTGATAAACAAATGCAATTCAAGATGTTAGAAACTCAAAAGGTGAGAAATGGTCCTTACTCTTCAAATTCTTACTGGCCAGCTGGGCAAATGAGCTGTAAAACAAAACTGATTACAGTGAAATAGGAAAATTATACAATTCAAACTACATGAGTTAGCTTTGTGTTACTATGTACATAGCAGTCCCCCTCTTTAGTACCCCTCCAAGACCACACCCCCCAGTAGTTTAAAATGTCAACTTATCACAACCTAAAATCACCTGAGAAGGGACCTCACCCGAGGAAGGTGGTGGGCAGGGCTGTGGAGTGTCCTGATTATTAACTGAGGAAGGACAAGCCACATTAAATCTGGGTGGCTCCATGGCATGGGCTGGGCCCTATGTGAGAGTGAAGAAAGCTGAGCAGAAGCAGGCAGGCACAAGTGTGTTGATTCTCTCTGCTCTTAACTGGTTATCTAACTGTGAGCTCCTACCTGCATTTTCCCTTTCTAATGGACTGGAACCAGGAATTATAAGCAGAATAAAACCCTTGCCTCCTCCCTCATTAGACACAGTAAAAGATTAGCAGTGCTGTCTAATCATGAAAACCGAAGTTCTGATGATACACTGTAACGTAGTTGCCAGCATCATTGCTCTTGCCCTTGGAGGCCATCATTAAATAACATGAGGATGGCTTCAGCAACAGTGTTTTGATATGCCACAGAAGAGCTGACACATGGTGAACAGCTACAAAGTGAGTAATAGGAGTGAAGCTTGCAGAGTGCATATATGCTGGACAAAGATAATTCATGTCCAGGGCAGGAAAGAGTGGGATGGAGTGAGATTTTATCACATTATTCAGAATGGTGCAAGATTCAGAACTTATGAATTATTTATTCTTGGAATCTTCCACTTCATGTTTGTGCACCAGAGATGACTCTGGGTAACTGTTGAAACTGCAGATGAGGGCATGCTACTGTCCACTGCCTCATTAGCAATTGTCTCAGCCCAGAGAGAAATAGACAGACAGGCAAAGAGGTGATGCCACACAGGCTGGACCTTAGTGATCAGCAGGCTGAGCCCAGGGCACGCAGGGAAACTCTTCCAAGCAGAGAGAATAGCATGTAGCAGATGTATGAAAAGTCTTCTGTAACAAATGACCCAGGAGTAGATCAACCCAAGAGGTGATAAGAGGGGGTGCCACGGAGGGAAATAAGGCTGGAAGAAGTTGATATAACATTTTGGGTACAACCTTCCTAAAAAGGCAACTATTCTATGTGCTAGAGAGATGGCTGGGCAGTCAAGAACACTTGCTTCTCAGCCATGAGCATCAGAGTTCAGCTTCCCCAACCACACAGGGTGGCTCACAAATGCCTGTGACCCGGGCTCAAAAGATCTTAGGGTGTCTTCTGGCCTCCTAGGGCACGCGCACATACGTTCACCACTCACATGGATTTGTGCATATAGACATAAATAAAAGATTTTTAAAAAGAAAGAGAAAAACTACTCTTCACAAAATGTTCCACAGTATGTTTATTGTTTGTATTTATTAAAGCAGTGATTGATGGTTTTGATCTGGGATTTTGGGCAAAGGGAGGAGAGAGTGACGCCTGGTCTTTGACCCTGGTGACAGGTATTTTATGAACAGCTGGAGATAAATATCATTCTCCTTGTGCCTCTCAAGTTGGTAGTAAGCCTGAAATTGCTAAAACTAGTCACAGACCTAAGAGAAAAACATCGTTTTCTCATCTCTGTTGTGTGTCCTCTAGGCTTGTTTGAAACGACAGGATTACAAAAAAGACACAAATGACAAGAAACAGGATCAGCTATGGGGGAAAGACACAGGTGACAGATCCCGGTTTCCAAGTGGGTCATCGTCCAAACAGGTATGGAGAATTTAAGTCTTTTGCTTCCGCACATGTGCACACATACATGTATCTGTTAGAAAAAAGCCAGGAGGAATGTATTGGCACTATTGGTTGGTAAAGTGCTTGCTTCACAAACATGAGAAACTGAGTTCATTTCCAGAACCCACATTAAAAAAAAAAGAAAAAGAAAAAGCCAAGTGTGGCACTTGGGAATCCAGAGCTGGGGTGATCAAAAAAGGATTCCTGGAGCTCACTGGTCAGATAGCCTGCCAGAATTTGGAAAACCCCAAGCCAAAGGGAGACCTGTCTCAAAAGAAAAGAAAAAAGAAAAAGAAAAAAGAGAAAACCTGGGTGTGTGATGCCTAAAGTACACCTCTGATGTCTGGACAACTGGCCACCACATGCATGCACACACACATGAACACATGTAAGCACAAAAATGAGTAAGATAGAAGCCTGTTGCAAATCCTAAAGGGCAAGGCAAGAGATACTTGAGCCAGGTGCTCCTCTCCTGAACACCACCACCACCGGTCACACCCAAGCAATGGCCTTCCTTGCTGGGCCTCACTGTTGTCCCTGGTAGTGAAGGACCTGACACTCATGGTCTGTAAGATGTGCGTTGATGCTAGAGTTGGAGGCACCATGTTTGTGGCTTCTGATCTGATCCTTGGCACTGTTGTCTCTGATTTTAATTCAAATTCAGGAGCAGAGTAAAATGCAATGATAACAACTTCTATAGTAACTGGCAATTGTTTAAATATTTTTGTGTAACTTGGTAACAAATAGTTAAGAACAATATAGTATTATAGCAATATGATAATGTTCACAATAGCCATTATTTGATTGTTTATACCATTGCAAACACTGTACTATATGTATATTAACTCATCTCAATCTCATAGATACATATATGTCTATCTATAATCTATCTATCTGCTGTTTTGTTTTGAGAAAGGGTCTGATGTGGGTAGCCTTGAACTGGCTATGTAGCCAAGGCACTCTTGATCACCCTGCCTTTACCTCACAAATGCTAGGATTATAGGAATATGCCATCACACTTGGCTTGGTGTCTACATACTAAGATATTATAGACAGGGCATGGTGGCCCATGCCCATAATCCCAGCACTTAAGAGGCAGGAGGGTCGGGAGTTTGAGGCCAGTCGGAGCTAACAGCATCCCACACCACTCCAGTTTACTTTTTATTGATGTGATAACACCATGAGCAAAAGCAGCCTGAGAAGGAAAGGGTTTATTTCATTTTACAGTCCATCATGAGGAGAAGTCAGGGTTAGAACTAGAACAGAGACCATGAAAGGATGCTGCTCACTGCCTTGTTCTCTACATAGCTCATTCTGCTTTTTTTTTCTTATACCATCCAGGACCACCTTCCCAGGGTGGCACTGCCCACAATGGTCTGGCCCTCACACATCAGTCATTAATCAAGAAAATGTCCCCACATACACTCACAGACCATTTGATGGAGGCATTTTCTCAATTGAAGTTCCCGCTTGCCAGATGATTCTAGCTTGTATCGAGTTGACAAAACACTAACCAGTATTTTCTATGAGCCCACGAGTGTGTATACACACACACACACACACACACACACACACACACACACACACACACCTTGGCAACATTACAGATGACAACTTGCTTCAAGTAGTCCTAAGGAGCCTTAACTGCAGTTTCACAGGCAGTTTGCAGTGGGGTGGGCATTCCAGCCAATATGTGCTGACCGCAGAGCCGATCTCCACTGCTGGGCTCTCCCTCCCTCCGTGTTTCATGTTTAAGATCCTCTCTGACTAAGAATTTCACTTGTTCTGTGTAAGAGCTAAAGACCACAGGCTGCATCCAACCCTGGCTGTTAGCAAGGCGAATTGATTTAAGGTGAATAGAATGCCCCTTATGAATTCTTATTTAATATTTTATGGCTGAAACAGGCTCCCGAGGAGGGACTGTCTCTTTCCTTTCAGTAGCGTGGATCTCTGAGACAGATCTTGGATACCTGATATCAATCAAGCTCTTGATTTCTTCTTTAATCTACGATGTTCACACAGTGGTTATTTAATGTTCAAAGGACACCTTAAAAACATCAGTGATTGATGCTTATGGACGTAGCTGTTTCTCTGGGAGAGATATATACTCCCTATTAAGGGGTATAAAAGCACACGATAAACTATCCCACCTGGAGTCTGAAGGTGAAAGAGAACCGTCTCACCACACTGGCAGCTGCCTGAATGTTTCACCTAGGTCTCTTCCTGATGGCCAAGGACTAAATATAAGACCTGCTGCTGCTGATCCAGGGGACTGAAATTAAGCCAAAAATTAAAGCTTGTTTGGCTAGAACAATTTATTTTTAGCACTAAGGTAAATTCTGGCATTTTTACACTTAGAATGAAAAAAAAAGAAAGAAACAAGGACAGATAACAAAAAATATGATATAATTCTAAGTCAGACAGCAGCACATAGCAATTCCTAGACTGGGATTCTGGAACAAATGGACACCTGGTCCCGCTGTTTCTAGGCAGAGGTTCACAAACCAGGTCACAGCCATGCTTTCACAGCCGGAATAGCACATGCCTCTGGAGCATTCTGGGTGTGTCTGATGCTCCTCTCTGCCTGCAGCACTATAGGACAAGCTGCTGGCACACTCCTATAGGTTTTTCTTCCCACTGTAAAAACCACTGTAAAAACCAGCCTTTCAAGCATGGTTGTACCAGCCCTCCAAACAAGGACATGGCTGTCCATTTAAAAGTAATTATGTGAATAGCTCCTGTGATCATAGATTACTTGCATCTGATTTTCTAGCTCGATTTTATATCTACTTGTACCTAACACAAAGTAACAATAGACATTGCGTAAAATTGACCATTTCTGTTAGAAGACAAAAACCCAGAGGCCAGGCATGATGCTCATGCCTTTAACATAAACGGATCTCTGAGATGGAGGCCTGGTTGGTGTACAGAGCAAGTTTCAGGCCAGCCAAGGCTACATGGTGAGATCTGTGTCAAGAAAAAGGAGGAGGAGAAACAGGGGGAGAAGGGAGACAATGACAAGAACAGGGGTTTTCATGTTGCATTTTGCCACCATGCCTATGAAACGATACTTGCAAATCAAATTTGATTCTTCAAATATTATCCTGAAGGCTTGAGTCTTACTGGTATAGTATCTCCAAGGTCCCACCTTCTCATTTCGAAAAGAGGCAGAATCTTAATTGTCCACAGTTCTTCATTTGAGACACCGGGGATACTGGGATGTTTGACATGATGAAACACCAGAATACTGAATGCACAGTGTGTGTGTGTGTGCTTGTATGTCCACTCCACTTGGCTCAATACAAAAAAAAAGTTTGTGAAAAAAAAAAAAAAAAAAAAAAAAAAAAAAAAAAGCCCAAGGTCCCTTAGGAGACTCAAAACAGATGCAAGAAAAACCTTTTAGCCATCAGGCTCATGCATTAGTTTGGATATTTCCCTATCAAGTTTGAGCCCTTCCTCAGATTTCTACAGAAGTCCAGTTGTTAACACCTTGGCCTGCCCCCAGTATCTCCAGACCCTGAGGGAATGCATGACTTAGCAAATAAATCTCCTTCTAAAGGGTGCACAATGCTAGGGGGTGCTGGACCTATTCTCTCAGAGGCTCTAAGAAGAAAGAAGAAAGTTGGCATTTCCCAGAGAAGAACCAGGCCACACAGATGCAATTTCCAAAGCTCTGTGTATTGAATGTCACACCTGGCAAAGCATCCTTGGTCTATCAGAAAAGGGCTGGAAAGAGATAACAGACAAGTGAGATACTGTAAACCAAACAGCCCCTCCCAGGGTTGGGGGAGGTGCGCCACGTCATCTCCCTCCCAGACCTAGAACTCTGGGTAATGTTTTACATCTGCTTGTGAGGTCAGGTTTGTCCTCTGAATTGAGTGGCTAGTGTGAATGTCAATTGCTGAATTCATGGAAATTTTTCCAACGTTCTGTCATTCTTTGAAGCATGCCCCGACCAAATTTTGACACTTGTATTGCAATTTTCATCACTTGTTCATTTCTTAACCCAGAATCCAATTGTCACAATTCTGATGAGCTTGGAACAAACCATCAAGTAATAGCTCTGGTGTCAAGCTATCATTTCCAGACACCTGACTCGAGGTCCACAGATCTCCTCCAAACACACAGTTAACCCAGTGACTGCTCCTCTGCATACCTTCTCTCTGTAGCCAGAGGCTTTCTTAGGGCTGTAAAGGTTGTGTTTGAGCCCCAAATGCAGCAATCTCTATCAAGCCCATTACTGAGATGATCTTTAGTATGGTATGTCTAGGTTTGTGGCTTGCCAACATGGAAAACATAACTGAAGACCACTCTGACCTTTGTCACCTTGTGAGTTTAGGCAAAATGTTTCATTTCTCCAAGGGGACACTTACTGTGTTATGCTTATCTTGCAAGTTCACCGTGAGAATGAGGGAACTTTCTAAGTGATAAGCTAACATTAAATCATGTCTATAAACTGTTGGCCAATTCTACCGCAAGTGATGCCCCAACAGGTAACAATGAAGAAACAGGTTCTGGGGCTTCTTGGACATTTTCCTTTGCCTCTGCCCCAAGCCAGGCCATGTTTTTAAAAGCCAACTTAATGTAGCCACCTATCATAAACCATTCTAGAGGGTTGGAGGACAACATGGTGAACTGTTTCATCCAATTAGAATTTACCAGAGAAATAGACGGTAGCTCTACATACCCAGTTAGGAGCTGGGTAAGTATAAAGCAGTGTCCTTGGGAGAAGATGGTAGCATTTATCTTCCCAACCCCTCACCATGGCTGGGATTGATGGGGGCACTGTCTTAGTTGGGGTTTCTATTGCTGTAAAGAGACACCATGACCACTGCAACTCTTACAAAGGAAAACATTTAATGGTGTGATTTACAGTTCAGAGGTTCAGTTCATTATCATTGTGACAGGACACAGCAGTGTGCAGGCAGACACGTGCTGGAGAAGTGACTGAAGGTTCTACATCTTGTGCTGGCAACAGG